GGGGGGGGGGGGGGGGTGCTGTTGTTGTGATTGTTTTCGGTTGATTCGCTCAACCGAGGTGAGCGCTACCCTTCCTGTCCTTGCGCAAGGTTTTCTTGTTCTCCGCGTGTTGAGCTCCCACGTGAGGGGTTCAGGTGCCATCGAGGGTTCACATGTAGTCATTTCAAGGTTGTAGGTGTGATTGGTCGACAACGGGGGGTGAAAAATTCAAGCGCAAAACGCATTTCAAACCAAAGATTTTCAAGTCTGCGTGCAAATAGTGGTGAGGTCGGCGAAATAGCTAGGAGAGAGAAAAAGAGGGAGAGAGGGAGGGAGAAGGGCGAGTTAGATTCTAGTAGGTGTGTGCGTAGGATGGATTCGCTTGAAGCTGCAACGGTGTGTGTGCGTGGAAGGCGATTTGGAACGCTCTTTCGTAGAGGGAGTCCATTTTGGCGACCGGTGACAGTTTCGGCGTCTGCCTGCCGCGTGTTGAGTGTGGTGGCGGCAGACGACCGCGCCCGACCACGCATACGTCAGGCCGTTGTTGCTCGGGAAGGTGTTGATAGGTCGGAAGGGTCTGCGCTGGACGTGCAGACGTCGGTGCGGGAAGTGGTGCTAGTACAAATGGAAGACAGCGTATCGGTGAAATAATGAGAGTGGCATCCTTCATCTGGCGGAGAAATGGGGCACCTGTTTGATTGCAAGGGCGTCGTCGCCCTGGAAGCTTGTCCATGAACTTCAATTACTCTCTGCTCGGAGTATTCATTCGGGGACAGGGCGCTGCTGTGGAGCGCCACTGCTATTCGTCACAAGCGACCCGAACCTCGAGAAACAACGTATCGTTGTTGGTGCACCGCCTCCAACTGAAAGCGTAATCCTCCGCCCCAGTTTCGTACGAAAATATCCCCGCGCTACATATTCTTCCAACACGGCGCCTTCGTTGAGTACATGCGCAGGTATGTGGGAACGCAAAGGAGGCAGGACGTGCCTTCCCTCCATTGTCTACGCATCTACTGGTTCTCATCGAGGAACCCCACCATCCGAGATCTGCATTAAGCACCACTTGTTTGCGTGATACACGAGAGAGGGCACGTTGAACATTCTGTCTTCAACGTGTGTCTTCGGAGAGGTGTTCCTGATCCCGCGCCCTCTACTTCCACCTCCTCTCCCTCCTCGTTATTCTCAAGTTGCCCGCAGAAATTGTGAACACGCCCCCAATACACCCACGTTGAACCCAACACCATTCGAAGCCAAGCGGGGTGTTGTCTTTCCATCTATTCTGGGCGTCAGACTGCACTCTTAGGTACATGTACACGGGAGGCGGGGGGTGGGTACACAGGAAGGGGGATTGCCGCAAAGGACGGCTGCAGCCATAAAATGCTTGCTGTTGCCACCAACGTAGATTTCTTCCTCGACAGTTTTGGTCGGTTGCAGTTAGCAATTCCTCCGGCGCGAGGAGGATATACTACATGCAACGAACAGAGGCCACTTTTTCGCATGTCTGTCCTGAAGCCCGTCCCTGCCTCAAAAGTCATTTCACTTGTCCTTCACTTCTTCTTGGGTTCGTAGGCGTGGGTCGCACAAGACACGACAAGACGCGACAAGACGCGATAAGACGCGACAATCCCTCAGTCAAGAGTGCAACAGCGCGCGGTCCCTGGACAAGGACAGGCCTTCTTCTTGCCAAATATCTCGGAGGGATGCTACGCTAGGGGGCACCCCCTCGGTCACATGGAGTGTTATGGCGGACTGGTGTGTACTGCCTCGACCAATGGAAAAAATGCTCATTGTTTTGCACGCCGCGAGATACACGCCAGGCGGCTGCCTGTGCAGAATTGATTTCCTTGAAATGCAAAAATTGAGAGAGTTACGAGCATTTGTATGGACCTTGTCGGGCGACAGCATGTGAACCGTGTCTTAAAAAGTGTCCCCCCTACCGTAGCATTGCTCCTCGGGGTAGTCCACATGAAACACTTTCCAACGCCACCGCCCCGTTTCGATATCAACAGTCAGTGCATTCCTGTTGCGCGTAGGAATATCGAGCTTGAACGAACTACACCCAAGTCTTGCGTGATGGTTCGAGTTACGGGAGTCCGATTCTCTCGGCCCAGACACTTGAGGAGCTGAAGGTATTGGAAGCCACCCCCTACAAGCAGTCTACGGGCAACTGCTTTCATCTGCTTCGACAGCAGAGGTGTCGGTATTCCGGGAGACCGCTTCCGATGGGGAAGGGCGCCCGCTCTCGACGGTGTCTTGGTGATCTGTTCCCTCCGGTCCGTCTGGCGTTGGCGTGATTTCCGCTCCCGGCGGTCGTGGTGTTGACTTTCCGTCCTGTTCTCTCTCTGCGGCCTTGTCTTTGGGTGCGCCCGCTTGCAGCAGCAGCGTCCGCTTAGGATAGGTATCACCACCACCACCCTGTCCTTCTCGCTCGTTTCCTTTCCTACTGCCAGGGGCGAAGTCGAGGTTGGCGGTGACGGCTTCGCCTTTTGGCGTGGCCGGCGGTGGAGGCGGCGGTGAGCTTGTACCCTGTTCTCTCCTCCCAACGGCGCCGTTGACGGTAACTTCGTCGGGTCCCGGAGTTTCGGCCATCTTCGGTGTGGTCGCTTCCCGTGTCTGGGCGGCCTGTGAGCTTCTGCGGCCTTCTCCCTCCTCCATCGTGGTGGCCGGGATACCATGAAGTTCGTCGGGCGTCCTTGCCGCCCGCGACGTAAACGGGGGCGAGTATATCTCTGCTTCTTCACCGTCTGAGGCTGTGTCGGGGACGACCACCTTCGCGATGTTCACGGGACTCCACATCTTCGACGAGGTCGTTAGTTTTGACGCGGGGGGGGGGGCGAAAAATGACGACAGGCATCGACGGATCAACTTGCGGGGAGGGCGAGAAAGTCGAGGGACCCGTGTACCCGCACAAAGGTAGCAGCTATTTTGTTAGAGGGGGCCAAGAGGTGTGCGGAATTAGCAAGAGGTATTGGGTATTGCCATAGAATCCAAAATCAACATTAACTAGTGTTGAAAGAACGATGACCACTAGACCACTAGTCAGCGCGGACTAGTGGTCCTTATAGTGGTCATCGTGCTTCTCAACAAAAGTTATTGCCTGAGTCCGTCAAGCTTTGTTTCAAGCCACGAACTAACGTGTTGGGGAGGGGAGCACGAAGTACTCGCGAACTGCGCCCAAGGGCCGTTCGGGGTATACCTTTGAATCGTTTTAAGTGACACGCTCACGCCGAAGTACTGGCCGCTCACACACCAACCGTATGACCCCGGCCATCAGATACTACCGCGAGATTGAGGCTGAGTGAGACTAGGATGGAGCAACAGAGTGCAAGGGGTAGACTCCGCAAAATAGCGTGGAATGGACAGAAGGAGCAGCGTAGTAGCAAGCGACGCACGGTACACGGTCTCACCATTCCTTCGTCATCGTCATCGTCATCGTCAACATCGGAATCCTCCTCTGAACTAGTGTCCGTTTCTTCGCCTTCCAGCCCCTCTTCTTCCTTAATGACCTCCAGGTTTCCAAACATATCTTCAACCATGCCTGCGCCCTCCCCTCTTCTTCCTGCTCCAGCTCGAAGGATATCCCTGCTGCGGCCATCACCCTTGATATCCCTGCTGTGAGTTGTTGTGTCGCTAGGGCCATGTTCACCATCTCCTCCCGTGATTTCTTCGGGTATTTCGACGTCCCCGTTCCCACATTCATCTCTTCCTTGCCCCTCCTCCCAGCCCTTCCACCTACCGCCGCCGTAGTGTCCTGCACCGTCCCTGTGTATGACCTCGTCAGGAGAACCGTCGCCGTTGGGAATGCCGGCCTCTTCCTCTGCAAAATTGTCCCCCGGCGGTTCGAAGCTGGGGTGTACTCCATCGTCCCCATCCGTGAGCGATGTAGAACCACCAACATCTACCTCGGCCAATGGGTCTTCATCAACCGGTCGAGCACCATCACGGCTTGCGTGCGCGCTCTCGCCACCAACACCATCGAAATGCCCAGTTGACCCACAAAACCCAGAACCAGTTCCCCCCAACGATTGCGAGGGCCCGGGAGGAGGAACTGCTGGGGCGTCTATCGTTCGTCGCACTAGAGCGAGCGACTGGGCCGCGCCCTTGCCGAACGACCCTTCCCCGGGCACGGGCGTTTCCCCCTCCCGCCCTTCGAGTGCCTCACGACTGACAGTGACAACTCGATCACTCCCGCTGTCTCCGACGGTCCTGAACACTTGCGGCGTGGAGGGGGAGGAGCAGGGAGAGGGAGAGCAAGACGCCCCGCTCTCCCTGGCCGCGACCTCCCCGCCGTCGTCCCGGCTTCCCCGCGCGGCAGCTGATCCTGCTGCGGTGCCCCGGTTTCGAGAGTGCAGGGCCTCCTGCATGGACACGGCCGCCTCGCCGACGAACTCCGTCACGTGAGACCGCCTGCTCGGGGAACGGTGGGCGAGGAAGTGGCACGCGGCGCACATGTCCACGCGGCAGTCGCGGCACCGCCGGGCGGCGGCGAGGTCGCCGCACCTGGAGCACCGCACGCCGCCTCCGGAGCTGTCCTCCTGCACTGCTCCTTTCTCGACGCTTGCAGCTCGTCGCGGGGGGGCCGCGACGGTTCCGGCGCCCTCCCTGCCGCAGCCACTGATGCGCAGGAAGCGGTGTCTCTGCCGATCCGCGTCGCGGTGCTCCCTGACGAAGCAGCTCGAGCACCTGTCTCTATCGTCGCCGTCACAATCCAAGCAACGTCTTGCGACGGGAAGGACCGAGCACGATGGACACAGGCCAAAGCTCAACGAACCAAACGTCGTCCTTCTTGGCGCGTCGGGAGCAGCGGCGCCGCCGGGGCCAGGATGAGCGTTACCACTAGCTTCCAATGCCCGGTGTGTGACCGAGGTCGAGCGCAGCTGCAGGTCCGGGTGGCTGGGAAGCCCCTTTGCCATAGCGGTGAGCTCGTCGATCAGATGGCAAAAGTCCGCCTCGAATGACTCGCAGGCAGCTTCGCACTTTGATCGGGCCTCTGCCGCTCCTGCGAGTCCCTCCTCTGCTGCCGTCGCCTTGTTGACATCAAGGGAGATGCCTTCGTCTTCAAACGCCGCCACGCGTCTGCGGAGTTTGTTCAGCACCCGCACGATCTCCCAGTCCTTGGCCGCCCCGCCAAGGCCTCCACCTCCGCTTTCAGCCGCAGCCCTAGCGCCTTCTACGGCGATCCCCCGATCTTTAAGCCGCTTCACGAGAGCCTCGAGCGTCTTCCGTGCCCAGCCGAGGGCATCGCGCAACTGGCGGAGATAGTCATCGTCATCTTCGTCGCAACAACGGCTGTGAAAACCAACGTCTCCATCTCTCGAGCTGACCCCGTACCCCTGGCCGTTCAATTCCGCGCGGTTCTCGCTCCTTTCCGGGCGGTCTGGGGCCATTTTCCTGTCTTCCTTGCCGTGGCCCCTGCTCTTGCCGGAGCGGCGGCGGCGGCGGCGGTGGCCGTGCTGTCGGCCCAAGCGGGCGGCGACCCTCCGCCCCGCTCTCCGACAGTCCTTCGATTCCGCGGCCGCCCTCCTCGCCTCTCTCCGGCACCGCTGCTCCTCCAACAGGGCAGCTTCGTGCTGTCCCCCGGTCCTGGCGTTGACCGCCCTCTTGCTAGCCTCGAGGGCTCGCTGCCACGGGTGCAAAAATCTTTCTTCCGCTCTTGCCGGCTTCGCCGATGGCCAGCCCGGCGGTGTTTTTCGTGTGTGTCCCTCGCCGCCGGCGTTCGGCCCCGCATCGTTCCCGCTTCTCCCCGTCGAGCCGTTCTCAGCAGAAGCTTCGAGCGCATTACGTGTGGCCCGGTCGCTTTCCTCTCCTCCTGTATCATGTCCGTTGTTTTTGCGCTCCAGGTTTCCACCGCTCTTCTTCCCCGCGCCGCGGTGTGCGGTACCACCTTTGGCTTTGTCCTCGGAGGAGGACTCCGGCTTGGGAGGGCCGAGTACGGCCAACGCTTCGGGCAGGTCGCGAGCGCGAGCCGGGAGGTAGCTGTCGCCGCCCCCCTCCTCCAGCATCGCTTCTATCGCGCAGATGGTTTCCCTAGACCTACCGCCACCGCCACCGCCACCGCCACCGCCACCGCCACTACTACCTTCCAAAGACCGACCAAACGGGTTGGCATGGTGACCGCTCGCACCGGTTCCTTCGCCGTCTTCGTCGTGGAGTGGCGGCCATGCGCTCTTTCTTCCGCGCGGCAGGATCGTCCGCTGCCACGCCGCTCCTTGCACCGCCGCCGCCGGCTCCAGACGGCGCCGCCGTGCTCTCGGCAGCGACGGTAAGCCTCTTCCTCCGGGCACGGGGGCACTCGTGCGCCGTTGGGGGTGGTGGCGGCGATCGCCGGCATCGTCGGCGGAGTCCGGTATATCGCCGTGGCTCTTGACCTGCCTCTTGAGGGTCGGGCGGTGCGTGGTGTGGTCGTCGTGCGGGAGGGTGTGGCGCTCTTCTTCCAGGGGATGATAGAGCTGTTGTTTCTTTGGTTGAGACAGTTTGTTCACGAGGCGCGACTGGTCCACCCGTCCGCCGGCGGTGCTCTTGCTCTTGCTGGAAAGAAGGAAGGAACACACGCACGGTAGCAGGAAAGGTCGTGTCAATTATTTCGTGCCACGCTTGTGCCAGAACGACATGGAATGTCAGGAGCAACACCAACCAAGCAGCAGCAGCAGCAACGACAAAGACAGCTCTACGCCATACGGGGAGGCCTGAATGAAACACCACACTGACCAGCAAAGACAGCTCTACGCCATCACATAGATCACCTTTTCCACACAAAGCAAGCCTGAATCAACACGCATGGCTTGTCCACACCTTAGCCGCCTCCGCCACGGAATCCCCGCCTCAACCCCCGGCTTTCCCGCCCTGGCGTCCACGTCTTTCAGCATCTCTCCGACCTCTTCCCGCAGGGTCGCCGCGCTGGCCTCCGCCGCTGCAGCACGCCTGCCTTTGAAGGCCGTAGCGTCGATGCCCGCCAGCGAGTCTCTCCTCCCTTTGGGCGACGGCAAAGGTAACGACGACGACGACGAACAAGAAGAGACCCGATCGCCCGCAGAGTCCGCCGTGCGGCCACCGCCCCTCTCCCGAAGTTTGTCGAGCCGACGGTAGACGTCGTAGCAGGCCCGGCAAACGGCAACCTGGGGGGGGGGTGGCCAACGCGAACAGGCAGCACCAGGGGGGAAGTGGTCGTGTGCTATGCCATTTGCCGGTTGGTTTCACGTGTCGTCGGTCTTCGTTCGCGGCGGAAGAGCCGCGAGGTTAGATACTTCGTGCGAGCTCGTGGTCATTGCACTGTCAGACCGCACTTTCTTCCAAAGAGGCCGATATTGCTGCGTTAAGCTAGTTCAAAGCGCTTGGCCAGCCGAAAAAACGCGAGAAGTGCCCTCATGACGTGGATACGTTTGGCGGTGTACGTTTGCATATAGGTCAGCGGATGACTGGACTTTAGAGAACAGCGGGCGCTTTGTAGCCTATACTGACAAAGAGGAAACAATCGGAAGGAACAGGGCAGAATCGCGGTGAAACCGCAGGCAATCTGTTGAAAACGGAAGAGGTGTAACGCTGCAGAAACTTCTTTATAATCCACCGAGACCACTCGCTGTCACATGGGAAGTAACCTCTGCAGGCGTACACACCTTTCGCTGCCCATAACTCACCCCAGCTAGAGCACGATACACTGAACAGCGTAAATTTGACTTGGAATTAAACAATCCAGAGTCAATTCAAAGGTGAGGGGTGGGTCCGGTTGAACAAAACGACATCGACATAACCCCGGGTGACAAAACGCGAGAAGGTATCGCCTGGAACCGATCAGGCATGAAATTGGCGTTCCTTCTGGCTGTGCGGGGAGCCATTTTTCAGTCTCACCTCTCGGTATACCAACGCAGGGCTTAATTTTTCCAGGCCGCGAGCCCCTCGACCGTTTCCTTCTCGCCAGCACCTTCGGAGTGCTTCTCCCCAGTAGACGTCCAGCCCCTGTTTCGCTTCCGCGCGGGCTAGCCCGACGGACTTGAACGTCAGAGAAAACAGCATTTCCTTTCCGGTCCTGGGGTCACCCTCTCTACTAGCGCTAGGCGACGAGGTCAACTGCTGCTGCTGCTGCTGCTGCTGCTTGTCCGTAAACTCCAGCAGGGCAGCCCCGCTCCTCCGGTCGTCGGATACGCCGATACTTGTCCAGTTCACCTCTGCCGCCGGGCTTTCTGCACCAACCCGACTACCTTCGCTGGATTCTGGAGCGCTTGCCTCGGGTGGTGGGCGCTCGGACGGTTCGGGCCGGACCCCGCCATTGCAGTTGCGGTATGTGCAGAAGTCTCCCGAACATCTCTCGCGCAACGGACGGGCAGAACTGGATGCGGAGGCGGCAGTAACAGCCACCGCTTCCTCGGATTCGGCACCGATCAGCAAGAACCGTCGTCCGTCGCGATGCCGGCCGGGAGCGGCCGTCGAGGCTATGGAGCGCTTCACGCCTCCCGGTCCGCCGTCGCCGAGATGCCTGTGCTGTGACGCAACTTCCAAGGGTGACGCTGCCGTCGTCGTTGTCGCCGAGGGTGGATCCGCTGACAGTAGCACAGCGTCGGCAGCCGCGGATAACAACTCCGCGGTAGACTGCTGCACCTTTGCTTCCAGCGGTCCGGGCGAAGAAAGCGTCGTTGCAGACTGCACGGGCGCTGGTGATGCCGGTGAACCGCTCCCAGAGGCAGCAGGGACGGTCGTGTCTGCCACCGACGAGGTTTCCTCCGGCGGAACGCTTGCCGCTTCGGTCAAGGGCGCTTCTCTTGCCGCCGAACCTCTGCCCTGGTTTTGATGGGTCGGAACAAGAGGAATCGGACCCGGTTGCGAGTTTTCCGAGGTCAAAATTAACGGCGGTCTTCCCGTTCCGGGCGGCAGTTTTGTCGACGGAGGTACCATCCCGCCAGGATCTGCGTAAGGTGCAGGTTCCGTTGCTCCCAGAGCTATCGATGCCTCGCCATTCTTCGACACTATCCGAGCGTGAAGAGCGTGTTCCAGCCAGACTTCGGACGTGCCGGCACCTCTGTCCGACGACGGCACCACGATGAACGTGGCAGCGATGCTGAGCACGTGCACCCTCCGAACTTCCTGCACCCACTGCACGACGCGACGAAGCTTCGCCTCGACCTCTCGGTTGATGTCCTTCACCCTAGAAACCAAGCGCTCGTCTGAAAGAGCTGTGGACGCCCTTGGTGCATTCAACTTGTTTTTGTCCCCTTCGTGATGTTGTCGAGACTCCTCGATCACTTCAGGCGAGTCTCGTAGAAGGCCACGAGAAACAAGCATATAGGTAGTCAGAGCTGCCTGTATCGGCTTCGTTGACGCTCGGGAAAGGTCGCCTGTGGCAACGTTGGTGCCATTTTTGCTACTGCTGTTGCTGCTGCTGCTATACGGTTTTGCTTTGTACTCGCAAAAGTATCGTTGCTGAGTAGGTCCACCACGGCGGGAATTCTCGGTGGCCGGATCACCCCCGGGGGGAGCCAACGCGGTCACTGCTACGGCACCCTTGCCTCGACCGCTTTCTTGGACGATCAAGGCTGCCCACCCGGCTTCATCAAGCGGTACGCTCTCACCCGAGCTACGCAACGCGGTTGCGAATACACCCCCGGTCGCTGAACTGCTGCTACCACCGTCTCCTCTACTCCGCGAATCTCGACCGTTGTCGGTGGCACTCGCAGTGTCTGCCGCGGATGAAGATCCTCGACGGAGCAGAACCCTGCTCAGAAAGGCCTGCTTGAGCGCTCCTATGTTGGAATTGTGGCTCGACTTCTTCATGACGCGGCCGTCTTTCGCTGTGAAGAGCCATCGCATGCCTGTATGCGTCGGGGATGCTGCTGCTGCTCCGTCGTCTAGTAAGGCGACGTCGATGATATTCATCCGGGCGTGACGTCGGGTGGACCACAAAGAGTCCCACACCCATCTTGCGGCTGTTTTTCACGTACAAAGGGAAGTGGGAAACCAACAGGTTTGCCAGGTATGATTGAGTTATGTGGCCATCAAGTACGACGTAGAACAATTGTACTACTGCCCTTGGCGTGCAACTAAAATAGTGTAAACCTTGACTCTTGTGTACGTGCCTGTTCGGCGGTGTAACGTGCCATATACACCGGTTGCTTGTGTCATTGTAGTCATACATGTTCTCCCAACTTCTACCTACCTTGCGGTCGCCAGAGCTTCGATGCGGGGTCAAGCAGAGAGAATTCTCTATGGTGCAGCCTTCGCTACTCCGTACTTCGTACATTGTTCTTGTGCGAGAAAGCATCGTTCGTCGTTCCCTTGGGGTTAACTTACGCACAAGCGATCTCCACTACCACCGTACTGCGTACGAAAGGCAGCACCGTCGATTGTTTTTTCTTCACCGAAACAAAACAAAACCGGCATTTCTATACAACACGTGTATCCTTAGCTACATGCATTCGCATAGAAAAGTGACCAGCGGCATGTTCTGTCGCTGTGTGGATCGGATGAGGGTGGGCCTCCCACGTTCAGGATGTACACCGGGAATAGAATAGCTTGACCATCCCCAACCATACGACGAAATGCACACGGCGTGTATCGATTCACAGCGAAATTCCACACGAGTCTGTCGATAGTCTATCTATATCTATGCTACATATTGTTTATCTTCTTCGTATTTTTCCAGGCTGTACTCACGAACAAATCTCCGCGCGGCAGCAACAGCAGCAGCAGCCCAAGTTAGGTCGAGCGGGGGAAGATTCTATCTAGTCTAAGGCTGTGACACGTCTTTTCTTCTCGCTGTCCGTCTCAACAGACATGTGGTGCTTGCCTTGGGTCCCATTCAGCTCGGTTGTTTCCATGCCAGTAGCCTATATCCCGCCCCCCGACTGTTGGAAGGCAGGCCTGCGCGAGCGCGCGGAACACGTGCCCAGAGAAGATGAGAAGCGAGCTGAGCGCTGTAGGGAGCCCTGCAGATAGGACCGAAACGTTCATGAGTGATATGGACAGCCCCCGGGAGTTCTACAGCATTGTTGTTGTTGTTGCTGTTGTTGTTGTTGTTGTTTTTCTTCACGTTAAACTCGTGTCAGTTGCTAATCCCAAAATCTAGCAAAGAATCGATCCGTGATCACAAAAATGCTAGAGTCATCAGAAGATCTAAACAACACACACACTATTAGCAAGAAAGGGTACGCAAGCCCGAGGAGGTACACCTGCAATCCCTGCAGCACGTTTGCATGCTCACAACTGAACTACACGCCCACACACTACAAATCGACTACAGCAGCAGCATCACCCCCCTTGTCCCGCATTTACCACAATGAATGTTTGTCGACTACAGCGTACGTCCTGATGATTGTACGCAAACAACATTTATTTGTGTGCATCTACCGCCGACGTCTTCTTATCGCGTTTCGTCAAATCACGAGAACATCTTGAATCTGAGGGAAACGAAGCTAGTGGGACCTTCTGCACTATGCAACCACATCCTCTTTCGTGATCGGTTTACTATGCTCCACAATCAAGCTTAACCCGGGGTCTAAAGAACCACACGTCCTCGTCGACGATAGAAACATGATCAAAGAAGACGGCAGTTTCATGCGAAGGGGCACAACTACCCCGCCTCGTTGTACAATCTTGTTCGTGGAGCCCCCTCCTTAGAGGCCGGAGCAGCCGTAGTTGTGCCTGCAAGCTGGGCTGTGGGTTTGTTGTACAAAGGACACACATTAGCAGCCAGCAGTAGCAAGGTTGCAAACGTGTAGCCCTGGTGCTATCGCTTTGGTCTCCTCGGGCATTGCTCTAATTTGCAGCGCAGATAGAGAGAGGGGAGCGGAGAGTTGCTTGAACAAGAAGTAGTTCGTTCTGTCTTTTGTGACGAAGGTTGGAAAATTCCAAATTCGACTCCGCTGCAGCAGCGAAGCGGCTCATAATCAATCATGGACTCGCAGTTCATCCCCAAGGCCATTGATATGGTCAAGGATGCCATCGCCGCCGACAACAACCAGGACTACGAGACAGCCCTTGGACTGTACAAGAAATCGCTGGAATACTTCATGACCGGCCTGAAGTACGAGCCCAACCCCGTGAGTTCCTGTTTTTGTGTTTGTTGCCTGTTCAAGTTTCCGTCAAGTTTTTTTTTTTTGTCCAACGCTGCTGCGGAGGCACGGCATGACGAGTTAGCCGCTCGTCGAAGTGAGAGTGCATGCAACTCACCATGCTAGTTGTCAACTGCTGCGGTTGATACAGATGAGCACAAGTTCTTGTGCCGCACACGCCCAGCAGAAGATGACTCATAGTCTAGTTCGATGAGATTTTTTTTTCATATTTTCACACATCTCTTTTCCTGTGCCAGATGGCCTTGGCTCTGCTTACGTCGTGACATACCAAGATTGAACCAGGGGGGTGTACCTCTTTCTCCCCCGCCTGCAATGGTGACTCCTGGTCTCAGTTGTTACCTCGCATAGCACGCAGAGGGAGAGGAGGACTCCAGAAATTCTGTCGTTGATATCTATTGACTTATGGACCCCTCGGGGCCAGTTCATTTGAGTGTACCTTTAGGGTAAGTCAACCTGTGACCACGGGAATCGACCGCGTCGAGTTGGATCAGTACGGACATACAAGGTACTACTATTGTGTGTAGAGATCGGAACGGTTTTTAATGTCAAGACAACAACAACAACAACAACATTACCTTCGGTATAATGGCCTGTCGTCACAACAACGAGTGTTGCGCAATTGCCTGGGAACGTCTGCGTGCAGCAGTACTAGTGTTGGAGAGAGGGCAAGCTTGTGTGATTTTTTTTAGTATTTGTCATCGGCGTCTCTGCTCAACGCAGCGGCGCAAGGCCTCAGTGAGATTCTGTTCGACGACGCCTGAAGATGTCGTTTCTGATGAGTTTTTTGGGCATCGGATGATTGCTCCGCCTTCAACCAATGAGCGCGCGGAGTGTTCCCCGCAGTAGTCTACACGGGTTTTTCCAAGCAAGCAAACATGCTGGATAAAGTAAAATCAGGTGCTCGGGCTAGAGCCGGCTCTCTTATCGCCGTTGCTCTGCTAGAGTGTGCATTGCAGTCTCTTCTCTCTCTCCCTCTCTCTCTCCCGCCCTCTCTCCCCCCTCCCCCCCCCCTCTCTCTCTCCGTGCCTCGGGAAACCTATTCCGCCTCTCTTCCTTCCACCGCGACATGTACGACACCTTGCAATCGCTGCTGTTGTCGGCTAACGCCTTTGTGTGTTGTGTTTGTGGTGTTGGTGCAGATGGCCAAGGCAACCATCATGAAGCGAGTAGAAGGCTACATGAAGCGGGCCGAGACCCTCAAGGAGATCGTGGAGGAACAGGCCGCAGCTAAGAATGGCATGGGCAAGGGCGGGGGCGGGGGGGGGGGAGTGACAATTTTCTACCTGCCGTGCGCAAGCGACTGTAACGAGTGTGAAACCTTCCTTGCTTGAAACGTTCGCGTGCTTTGGGGGACGGGGCACACCAGCTCTGTGCCCCGTACCAGTATTTTTTTATTTCGCGGTGCATGTACAACTGTAGCAACAACAAATTGGGCCACTTGTGTGTTTAGTATGTATGACAACAGTGAATAGTAGCATAGATGGTGCACTCGATCTGCAACAAGAAAAGGGTAAGCAGCTACATATCCGGACGTGAAATCATGACAGCTAAAACACGACCCCTTGTGTGGCAACCAATGGTGGTGGAGTGGATCATGTTGTGCGGGGTGGAGAAGCCTCACTCCGCGCAAGGGGGACGATCGCACCACGTTGTGTTAAAATGGTCAAGCACCCTCGAGGCAGTTACACAGTGCTTAGAACTGTCTCTGGAAGTGAAAGCACCAGAAAATACATTAAGTCATACGCAGCTGTCATCCGTACGCAAGGAAGTAAGCACAAGATGCCGAACACCCTTAGCAGGATGCAGCGCACCCTTCATGCGACTCGCCGAATATCTCACGGCGCTTCGCGCTTGGTGATGCGAGAGCCTGGTCCGGTGAGAACCCGGCGTGCTCCGTCCCAGCTTTGTAGGGATGCGAGGTCAATGGTCTAACGACTACGGCATGCACGACTATGAGTACACACACACACACACCTTGTGTGGTAACACGGCTCCGCTCTACACCAGTAGAGCTGAGGAAACTGCTTCTTACGCATACCACCGAAATAGTATAACGTGAAGGTGATTGATTGTTTCCCAGCGGTTCGCTTAGGGAACGAGGTTGATGTTGATGCACTACTGCTCTACAGGCAAAGGATAGCGTGGTTGGTTCCATGTATTCCATTCCTGTTGGATACGTTGGTGCTATGTTACATTCCCTTTTCGGTATAGTATTACATATCTCCATGATTTTGTGCTTGGATGGCTGGACAAACGCATTGAGTCCGATGCACATGTACAGCAGTGTGCCGCATCCGCACCTCCTTGCGCTGTCTGTTCAGCAAGGGATAATGTGTGCAAACTTTACGGACCTGTGCTCCCCAAATGCGTGTATGCACACCAATTACGTCCCGCGACACTCGCCCACATGAATCAAGAGTGTTTCGTAGATGTGGAAGAGGAGGGGCAGGCTATAGAAGTCAAAACATTGGAGTAGTCAACGCTGACTATTTTTGCCTAGTGGTTTGGTTTCCGCTAGCATAAAAGTTAATCGTCGTGTTGGTTCGAAACCGAGGCTGCACTTGGTGTGTTTTTTTTTCCTGTACCCTCGGCGCCCCCCCCGGTGTTTGCCATCGGGGTTGGGTTTTCGTCGCTTGGCAACGACGTTGTAAAANTTTGCGGTAACCATAATGGTGGTCGAGTAGATCATGTTGTGCGGGGTGGAGAACCCTCATTCCGCGCAAGGGGGATGATCGCACCACGTTGTGTTCAAAAGTTCA